TCAGCCCCGAACTACACTGGAGGAGCTTGTTAATGATCTTAAGGCAGTTGGGACCACAGTCACCAAGCAAAACATTGGTAACACACTACGCCGCAATGGTCTGAAATCCTGCAGCGCCCGCAAGGTCCCCCTGCTCAAGAAGGCACATGTACAGACCCGTTTTAAGTTTGCCAAAGAACATCTAAATGATTCAGAGTAGGCTTGGGAGAAAGTGCTCTGGTCAGATGAGACCAAAATTGAGCTCTTTGGCATTAACTCGACTCGCTGTGTTTGGAGGGAGAGAAATGCTGACTATGACCCCAAGAACACCATCCCTACAGTCAAGCACGGAGGTGGAAACATTATGCTTTGGGGCTGTTTTTCTGCTAAGGGTACAGGACGACCGCATTGAAGGGCAAATGGACAGTGCCATGTACTGTAAAATCTTGGACGAGAACCTCCTTCCCTCAGCCAGAACACTGAAGATGGGTCATGAGTGGGTCTTCCAGCATGACAATGACCTGAAACATACCGCCACGGCAACAAAGAAGTGGCTCAAGAAAAGAAGCACATTAAGGTCATGGAGTGGCCTAGCCAGTCTCCAGACATCAATCCTATAGAAAATCTGTGGAGGGAGCTGAAACTTCGAGTTGCCAAACGACAGCTAAGAAACGTACTCTGTTACTAACGTAACCTCAGTTCCCTGAGATACGGGAATGAGTACTGCGTCTTGCTAGATGCATATGGGAAAAATTCTCCCAAAAATTCTCCCATCCTTTTTCTCCTGAACTGAAGCCTTTTGTCATTCACGCAGTGAAACTGTACGGCCATTGGTTCGTGCAGTGTATTAAAAAAACGAACCAATGACGAGCCTATGGCGACGAAGCCCGCCAAGCCTGCCAAAGCCCGCCAGAATGGGCGGGGCATCTGGCTATATAAGCGGGCGCTCGCCACAGGATTCTCAGGTTACTTCGACTGAAGCGACGACTGAGTCGTGCAGCTACATAGCACGGCTAGCAACGCAGTACTCGTTCCCGTATCTCAGGGAACCGAGGTTACGTTAGTAACAGAGTACATTCCCTTTCGATACTACACTCGTATACCCAGGGGTCGAGAGCTAACAGGTGAACTAATGCCAGAGAGCTTGAGCGTGATACGGCCAAGGGCTCTCTACCAGATCTGTTTACCCAGCGCATGTCACTTCAACCGGAAAGGACCCTGACCTGCAAGGCCGGGACTTCCAGGTTATAAAACCTTGCAAATGTGGATGGCGAGGCCCAGCCGGCCGCCTCACAAATATCCGCAATGGACACACCACTGGACCATACCCA